TCTGGGCAATAACAAGAACCAAGTTCAACTGGATCATTCTATACATCTCCATTCTAGCTAAATGAAAACAATTTCTTCAGATTGAAGCATTTTTGGACCTAAAATCTGTTAAGAGAAGTCAGCTGCAACTGCAATTATGGTGTTATGGTGTAAACAATACTGTCCAAACTACTGCTCATTCTCCCAGCTCAGATCTCCAAATAATAAAACCCTAAATATTAACTAGCCCTTCGCTTTTCACATTTCCATACCAGTAACATTTATGCAGCCATTTAAGGAATAAAGCCACAACCAAGATCAGTTCAGAGCAATGATCACTTTAGGTAGTCTAGTTTTGAAAAATTCACAATGAACCGGAGGTATCAGAATAATTATCACCAAATATTCTTTGTTTTCCAAGCACAAGACTTAGAATACACATTCAAGTGCACCAGAATGGTCATAGTCTCTCCAACAGGCAGCAAAAGGGACAAATGTTACTAATTTAACACTATCTATGTAATTAAGAGGCTTCCCTGGTATCTTGGCTGGTAGAATCCACCTGCAATGCCGGAGACTCTGGTTCAATTCCTGGGTTGTGAAGATCCCTTGGAGAAGTGACAAGATACCCTTTCCAGTATTCTGGCCTGGAGAATTCCATGGACAGAGGAGCCTAGCAGGCTACAGTCCATGGGGTCACAGTCAGATACAACTCAATGACTTTCACGTAATTAACACCTCCAACGAAAACATAATTTGGTAAATCATTTTCTAACTTGTATGGGCCATTTCTCACCCTTCCTTTCCATTTCAAAGTGAATTGACTCCCAGTTAAGACAGAAGTAATGACACAAAAGCTAGATTCTGCCTAAATGGATATCCTGATTAAGCTGAGAAATGCAGTTCTCAGAATCCATTGATGCCCTAGTTCAACCTATGAAGTTAAGACATTTGTTTTCTTACCCATGTAAAATGTTTCTATTTCTCATCTTATGACACAGTCAACACAATAGAAAGATCATCAAGTGATAATTGCCACTAAATGTGAAAACCTATAACCATGCCATTAAGTGTCTTAGTCTAGCAAATTATACTTCCCATAACAGCTTTCAGAATCATATTTAGGTTGCCAACTAAATTATTTCTTAAAAAATAATAAATCTTTACTAAAAAGCTACTGAATATCTTGCCCTTATTCTGATTAGAGGTTAAGTAAAAATTTTTAAATACTTCAAATTTCACAAATTCCCATACAGGGCAATTTAATCTGCACCTGCAACTTTTTTTTTTTAAAAGAACTCTTTATGTTGACCTAAGTGATGGTGTAGACCAGGGGTCAGCAAACATTTTCTGTGAAGGACCATATATTTTAAGCTTTGGGGACTATATACATCGTTCACTTTTAAAAGGCAGAAGCAATTCTTAGCTCAGGAACTGTACAAAAAACAGACCACAGGCTGAAATCTGTTGACCTCTGGCTTAGATGTAGCACTAATTTAAATGATACTAACTTCCAATGTTAGCACTTCCCTGGACAAAATCTTAATGGTTTTAATAATTTATATCCTAATCACTTTCTGAAATTAAGCTTATACTTTAGGTTACCTTTCCTTACATTACTGATTTAAGGATTCCTCTCAACCACATTTCAATCACTTCTCATATAACCCCCATAATTTGATCGTCAGATCAAGATTCTCAAGTTGAAAGAACATGTCAGAGGTAAACCTAGGCTGAGCAAAAAATCATTTGAGCCCAAATTTCTGAAAGCTGACACTTAATATACAGATCAATGATAAAACCTGACAATTTTACAATGTTCATGGTTTATCTAATCAGGTCTGAAAATCTGATGAGGGATCTTACTGCTTTGTTACTAGATTTTAAATGTTCTGCCTAAACATTTATTTCAGTAGAAATACAAATGTTTGGGTTAGAATCTATTTTCTAAGCATTTAATTGCTTTCTTTATAAAGCAGAGTTGCAGGCACCCAAGAGCCTAAGAATTTGCTATTAGGAGAGATGGCTTCTAAATGTCCACTAGTAAACATCATAATGATCTTAAAGTCAAAATCATTCAGGTTCTAGCAGCTCCACATTTCTGAGTTTTTTTAACTCTTTGATATTTGTTGGTTCTTTCCATGTTAGTCTCTTAAAGATGTTTAAAAATCCTAATATACAGTATTCAGACTTTCTATGCAACTCGCTAACAGCGTATAACAAAAATTTTCTATTTCCAACCACCTATAGCAATTAGAAAAATAATACAATAAAAACAAATACCTAATATTCTCCCTCCATAAAACACCAGAAACAATCCCCAAACATACTACTTATTTACAACTCGAGATATGTTCTGCCTCCACTTTTTAAATGAAACTGAGTGAAGTGACTTAGACGTATAGTGCCTGGTGACACATTTTAAAATCTTTCATAACTGCACAAAGTTCTCAAAATATTTAACTGTAACAGACCTCATCTCCATCATCTCAATGTAAACTGAAAATATCTTAATAAAAAATATAAACTATACCACTATTTCACTTTAAAAGATTCAAGACAGAAGTTCATTAGAACATTCTATCAGCCATTATTACCTTATTTGTGAAAAGACAAACCCCCGACATAACCTTCACTCAAACATGGAGTTTCCTACAAGAAATGTCAATTGTCATGTCCATCCTTAAAATTCATTTTACAAGAATTAAATTTTGTAATTAAAATAGGTACTCTCCCAATTGCTTTTGACAGACTAGGTTAACAAACACTCCATATAAACAAACCTGTTTTGTGAAAAAATGAAATATGAACATTACCCTTGGGGGTACACACATAGGTCATAAGACACGTGACGATAAATGGGCTCCTATGATTGCTTTTATGACTTTTAAGAAGTGAGCATGAAAATAAAATCTTTATTTTCAGTTATCACCCACCAATAAGAGAAAGTTAGGTTCACAGTTTTAGCTCGTGACAAAGTGAACTAGGAGGCAAATTTACATCCATCAGATACAACTAATGGACTGACTTTTAGAATCCAGGCGATCTTGAAAGCTTGCAACATACCAGAATATTGCTGTGTATTCTCTAGTGACAGAATGCCAGCAATGGCTGACAATGAGTAAGAACTTGTTTTTTTAATAGGTGTTTTCTATATGTTGCTAGAAATCAGGTTTATTACATGTTCCTGTCCAAAAATGAGTTAAGATACTTTAAACACACTACCTATGGGTATGCTGAGGAATGTGTATGTTGCAATCTCAAGAGGGGTCAATAGTCCATATGGACTAAATTGATACTTGCCTCTGGGTAGCAGGTATGTCTGTAAATATAAAATTATGTTTAACATTAGCACCAGTGCAGAACATGCCCAGCATCATAAGATCCAAAACACCAGCACAAGCTTATCCACCATTTAAAAAACCAATTACCCTCTTCCTAAAATGCCAAACTAGTAGGTCACTAGATCAATTAATCTAATCCCAATGCATAACTCTTGTACTGTATGGTTTCTCCTTTAGAAGTATAGGGGAAAACTAATGAGCTAGAGACATTTTATGACTTAATGTCTTATATCAAGTATTTTTAAAATTGGACATTACCACATAGAAAATTACTAATAGTGACAAAAAGATCTTTAAATCTGCAAATAAAGCCCCTCAATGTTGCAGAAGACTTAAAAAAGAAAATCCTAGAAAGGCTGTTTATTCTCTCCATGTATGTTTTAGTAAGTGGTCTTGATCAAAGAATCCATTATTAACCTAATTTTGTAACAGAGGAAGAGGTAAAAAGATACTTGTTACCTTCTACACAATCTATCAACTTAAGACCAAAATTAATAGCAATATAGGAAATTTGGAAACAGTAAAATGTTTGGTTTTCATTTCATGGATGGTGCTGCTGTTCCAACCTTATAAAGTAAAGCTGTCCACTTTCCAAACCCCAGAAATTAACAACCTCCAACCTTACCGTACTAACCAGTGCCCTTTGGTTTCGAACAAGGAAGAGTTAAAGGGTTGATTACGGATGTACAATTTTGATTTTGGGACCTTTCACACATACAAATCATACTGAGCAGCCACTTACTTTACAGAGCAGTTTAAATGTTAACACATTAGCCAAATTAACCTGTTCCACCCACCCTATTGGAGGAGGAAAAATCCAACACCCATAAAACTACTTCACTTGACAGTATGTGTCTTTCAACAATAAGTAGCTTAAACAACTTTTACCAGTAAGGTGTCTAGACTGATTTTTAAAATGGGCAAGTGACATTTTAAAAGTAAATATAATTGAAATTGAATCAATTATAATTTGAACCTAATGAACCATGCAGGAGCAAGGGTTAATAAACCAATGTGCTTTGAATTTGTTCAAGTACTGGTATTTCTGTATATAAAGATTTAGCATATATAACAGCTATCATGAGAAGTGAAAAAGACCTTATCCCCAGAAATGAAAATATTAAAACTAAGTTAAAATACATAAAGTAGTTAGTATTCCACACAGCATAAAATTTGACAAAGTTTACATGTCCCAGTTGACCATGTGTGAAAATGCAAAGCAGGTATTAAAACTGATATTATTATGTCCAATATTTAAAACCAGTTTGTAATAGGGGGAACATCTAAATCCTTAATTAAAAAACACAAATGAAGTGAAAGCTTTAAACTGGTACACACTGTTCACACCTATATTTCAAGTTTGGAAATGCATATTTGCAAGCAGCAATACAAAAGTATTCATGAAGAATGCATAATCTCTGAAAATTATGAAAACATCCCTGCTACCAATACATTTCTAAATACAAAACTGACTACCATATTGTTACTTCTGTGTAGCAGGAGAAGTTCATTTTCAAAACAGATAAAATTCAGTCTTTAGGTGTGAATGGTATGAATGACAGTCTTTTTTTTTGTTTTTTGTTTTTTTTAAATTTCTTAGTCGTTTGGGATCCTTAAGCATGCAAGCCTCAAAGAGGAGGGTCCACAAAGGAACCAGGGCTGTCTTATGGCATCCAGTTAAGCCAGAGCTGGGAATGCCTCTGGGTCATCCACATCAGGAGCAGAAGCACTTGACTGAAAAAGAAACAAGCAAAATTAATGATAGCTTTTACTTTCAAAAGGAAAAATTATGGATCAGAATAGGACTTGAGGGGAATAGCTGGGAGACTGAGATGGACACACACACTGTATGAACAGGCAACTGAGGACTGCACTGCAACCACCTATATAAAGAGTCTAAAACAAGTGACTGTGTGTGTGTAACTGATCCACTGCAGAAACAAACACATTGTAAACTCCAGTAAAATTAAAAAAACAAAAAACAGGACTACAAATATTTGCAATGAGCCCTGGCCTGAATTTTCTATCAAGATCTGAGAAAATTCCTAGCAACACCATGGGTTATTTGTTTTTCTAACAAATCACACTAGTAGATTCACACAAGGTATGTATGTGGATTCACTGTTGTTCAATATTCTTTTATTTTTTCCACTTACTAATAATAAGAATGGCAATGAAAACAAGCTAAGAAACCAATTATTTAAGCAGCACATTCATAATTGATAGGAAGGAACTCAATGGCTTCAATATTCAATTCAATTCAATATTCAAGGAACTCAATATTCAATACAAATTACAAAACAAAAAAGTACTGAAAAGATCCATATACACAATGCTGGCCTTTAAAAAGAACCCATGTTACAGAGGGGGGAAAAATATCACTTCACTGTTATGGGTGACCATAAAATCTAGAATATTAAGTTACTACTATAATTAAACATTGTCAGACTCAATCAAGCAGATGGGGTGCCAATTTATCAGATGTTGAGAATTCAGGACATTATGGTTGATTCTGAAATAGACTGTAAGACACAATGAACTAACTCAAATTATCACTAATACTTTAATACTATCTCATCAATAAACCATGAACTTTGGGATCAAGCAGATCAGAATTCAAAACTACCCATTACTAGGGCTTCTAGCAAAATGTTTCAGAAAAATTTGTTTTGTATCACACACAGTGCAAGGCAATGGAGATCACAAAAAATAGGACAAAAATGAATCCCAACTCTAAGAGACCAGCTCTCAGGAACAAAATAATAATCAACAACCAATCAATGTCACACAATTACATACTGGACACAAAAGTTTTATTAAGCTGAGCTCTAAAAAGCAGTGAAGATTTGTCAAGACAATTATTGGTATTTGGCACTTCAGGTAGACAAAGACCACAAAATTACCTTGGTTCCTTGCACCTGAATTTCATCTTCTATAAAATGGGAATTTTTTTTAAAAGCACAGTACCACGATAAGCACTAAATTAAGTGTTCAATAAAGGGTGATAAACTTAACCACTGGCAGCACTATACAGTCATTTAAGTGCTTTAAACAAAAATATAACCTAAAATGTAATTTTTTAAAGGAACGCCAACCTTTTTCTTCTACTTATGTCCCCAAAAGGAGTTAGGTCAGTCATCTATCAAAGGAGGTCCCTCAAGTTACTTACAAGAGTAGAATATGTCTTAAAATTACCTTGTCAGTCCTGATGCCACGGTTTGGACGTCCACCACGCCCACGGCCACCTCGTCCTCCCCTGCCACCACGTCCTGGGCGGCCAAGGTCTCCAAAATTGATCTCCAGCTGAGATGTAATATCATTTGCTGGCTTCCGGAAATGGTGATCCATAACTGAGTCTTCAGCATGAGCCTAAAATTTCAAATGAAGGCCACTGGGTGATTTGATGGATAGGAATGCAATGTTGTATATTTCTCAATGAGCTTTCTACAACCTGTCCTTTGTGTGAAAAAATGTAACAACAGGTAATAAGTAAGCTTTGGGATCAGCTATAGTAATCTAGCAGTTAAGAATTCCTTTCACTTTTCTCCACTTCATATTCCCTTAACTTTAATTATAGGTGATACTAGCAAGACTTGATTAGAGGTATTATCCCAACTACTTAAGTGGCTGGGCCCCATCTCAAACCTACTGAGTTATAATCTTTAGCAGTGAAGTATGAATAAAGTGTTAGTTGTTCAGTCGTGTCTGACTCTTTGCAACCCAATGGACTGTAGCCTACCAAGCTCCTCCGTCCATGGGATTCTCCTTCAATGGGTAGCCACTTCCTTCTCCAGGGGATCTTCCCGATCCAGGGATAGAAGCTTAGTCTCCTGCACTTCAGGCAGATTCTTTACCCTCTGAGCCATCAGGGATGAATAAATACATTTAAAAATATGCCCTTCAGATTAGGATTCCAATCTGAACCTCTGATGAAGACTTTTAGATAGATGGTATATATTTCTGTTAGAGACATTACTGAATCTCTTAAGTTTTAAAGAGAACTTTTGCTCTATACCAGGTATGACTTGGGGAAGAAACTGTGTATAGACGTCTCAAAATGCTTTTCTGTTTATATTTAAACATGTTCTTTCATATAAATTGGAGAACTACAGATTCAAGTGAAACACATTACATAAACAACCTTCAAAAACTGTGCACAAATAAAACCATGCCTTAAATTTACCAAAGGAATCTTCTTTAAAATGAAGTCATCATGTTTGTGAAATTCAGATCCCAAGCCACATGACAGACTCTGCAAAAATGCCAAGCAATCTCACACTGCTTAAGGCCTGCTTTTCTTTTGTATATTTGGGAGAATGGGTTTTAATCTTCTAGCTGGAAACTTCCTAAAGTATGTTTTAATTTTTCTAAATACAAATATAATCCTCTTTTCTGAAGGGTATTTCATTCTAAATCTTGTAATATTACAACTGTTAATAATTACCTTTTCAAGTACAAATTCTTTATTTGTAAACAGATTTTCAGTCCTTTATTCATCTAATACCCAAACTAAATTACATCCCTTTTGTCTTTCTTTAAAAAGAAAGGTTTTGAAAAATATTTTCAAATTTTTTAAATTTAAAAATATTTTAACATTTAAAAAACATTAACTTTAAAGGAGCCTAAAATACAAAATCACTAGCAAATAAGTCAATTACATATGTGAAGTGTCTGATTTTAAATGTTAGCTATTGCAAAACAACATTAATTTATTAGCTAAAACCATTTATAAATTTCTAGAGCAAGAAGCAAAAAAGCTTAAGGTGATATATTACTGAAAAAATCCTGAAGGTAATTAAGAGGAAGCCTGGATATTCAGGTTACATCCCCAATCTTCAAGTGAACTACCAGGATCAATTTATAGGGTTTTTTTTTCTATAGCACTGTGCAATAATTAAGGAAATAAGAGCCTGGTCTCAGCTGTCAATAATTCAGTTCTCTCTTTCTCAAAAAAGTGTTTTTCTTTCCCTATTTCATTTTTATGCGAAGCTGAAGATAAGTATAATAAAAAGAAAAAAAAGAATACTCAAAGCGCTGAATACAACAAACTTAAAGACCTGTTATCAAGTTACAATGAGGTTGCATCCTGATAAACCTGATTATCTTTAAGTACAAAATACATTTAACATACCTAACCTACCAAGCACATCATAGCTTGGCCTAGCCTACCTTCAGTGTGCTTAGGACATCTACATTAGCCTACGGCAGAGCAAAATCATCTAAAACAAATCCACAAAGCCTTTATTATAATGTGTTAAATATCTCACGTAATTAAATGTAGTATTGAAAGTGAAAAGCAAAAAAAAAAAAAAAAACCCCAAAAGTTCCACATCAGAGATAATCTGTATTCAAGTGATAAGGCCATATATGCCAATATATTGTACAATATCACAAAAGCAGCCTAACTATGAGGGTCCAAGCATTTGTAAGTGGTTGATAACGAAAATGTCCTAGTTTCAAGGTTATTCATAACCAATTTCACATTTTATAATTTTCAGAAAATTCTAATTATATATATCACCTTGTGTAATAATTATTTCTGAAAAGCTCAATATAAAATATATTTAAAGCTGGGATACTTAACCAGAAGTCTATAAAATTCATGAAGAGGTTGCAGGGTATTAATGGTAATGATACAATCTAAAATTATACCAAAGTATTTCATGTCTGTGTCCTGTTCTGAAGAAAAGTTCTGTTGGGACCCCAAAAACTTATGATGCCAAAGTACTTTTTTTACATTATCCTAAGCAGTTTAATTGTTAGTTCAAATGAATAATCTCCCCAAAGTGAATTTCTATGGTTCTTTAAATCAAGGTTCTCTTTGGATTTTACAAATACCCAAAACAACTTTATCAGCAAGAACTACCAAAAAAACCCTAAGCATTCTAATGAAACAAAATGTTTTTTCTTTACTGACAGGAATTTACACAAGACTGTCCCATTTATACTACTTTCATGATGCCCATGTTTAAAAAATCATCTCTAAACTTCTACTTTAGTGCAGAATATTTCCAAGCTTGTTTTACAATTATTTTTTGCTTAGAAAATTAAAATGCACAAAGGGTTTACTGTATTTTTTAAATTGTAGGTTGCCTTCATAACATTCCAGTTTAACTGTGACTAAAAGCTCATACTCACATAAACCCTAAAAAGATATAGCAGTGGGATAGTCCCCTAAGAATGTGTGCCCCAAGACTTAAATAAAAGCTACCAAATCAAAAGTCACACGTCTTTCTCAAGTATTTTCATTAGTTTCCTTGTTTCCTAAGGAAAGGAAACTCATAAATTCTCTGGTCTTCAAGCTATTACTCTTCAGTAAAGATTTACTAAAGATTCCTGGATAAGGCTTCCCAGGTGGTACCAGTGCTAGGGAACCTGCCTGCCAATGTAGGAGACATAAGAAACACAGGTTCGATCCCTGGGTCGGGAAGAACCCCTGGAGGAGGAAATGGCAATCCACTTCAGTATTAAAAAAAAAAAAAAGATTCCTGGATATCATTTATATATGGCACAGGCAGACAGTTTAGAGATATACCACATAAAAAAAGCCAACCTTTCAACCTAATACAAGTCTTAATGACTCCCAGTTAAGTAAGATTTTAAAAAAGATTACAGCTTTCAAAGAATAATTTCTTAAGAATATATCATAATGCAGTTTATTTTCCTTTGGGGAAAATACATGTCTCAAATAATCATATGTAAAATTTTACTTTATAAACAGATTAACCATGTGAAATTTTAAAACAAAAATTGTACATGCAATTCAAAAAAAATCTAAACATTTTCAACACCACAAAACTTCACTTTACCTCTTCACTTTTTGACTTATGAAGAACAAATCCCTTCTTCCACTGCCCATCAGCACCTTCATTTGGTTTTCGGATATTAAATTCTACTTTTGCCCGGTCCTTATTTTGAATAGCCTTCCACTCATCCAAAGTCATTTCTTTTGGACCCTCTTCCTTTACTTCTTCAACTTCATTCTCCCTGTGTGAAGATGTTTCAGTATTACACCTGGCAGGGGGCTCATAAAATCACAGAACTTACAAGTGTAAGTGAGGAAGTACCAACCTCAGCTGGTTGGTAATCATCTAGATTATCCAAGGACAGGAGAATCAGTTTTCTTTGTAACCCAATGGCTAACAGGTGACTTAGTAGAAACCAGGAATTCAGTTTGTTTAATCAGCGAAAATGTGGATAACGAAGGAACATACAATTCATCTTCATAAACTCTTAAATGATTATCTATCAGTAACACAAGCTTGAACTGGCTTTATTAAACCTAGAACACATTTTTTAAAACCACACTACTGTTTTTAAAACTTACAGTATGTGATTGAAATCTGATTTAGCTTCTGCTAAAACACATTTTTAATTTCCATAATACATCATTCATAACACACATGAAGGTAATCATCTAGGCTGCCCATGACAACCAAGTTTTATATTTAAGAATATAAAAGAACTGTTCCTTCATCCATTTTTATAACACTTAAATCAAATCTTTAATTTCTACAAATCCAATCTTTATATATACTCTAACTTTCAAACCAGTGTGTACATGAATAAGCAACTGAAGTTTCACTAGTGATGGAACTTTCTATAAAATATTGATTTTCAATACTTAATACCAAATTGTGTTATTTCTAATATAATTCTCAGACTATAACTATTATGTAGTATCCTGTTTCCTTTTTACACAAACAAAGCATGCACCTAGGAATTCACCATTTAATCTCAATTTTCAATTGTCACCAAACAAGTTTGCTATTTTGGGAGCACCGCTTCTTTCCAAAGATAGCAGGTGATTCAGTTAGCCTCAGAGCTCAAATAACTCCCATACATGCTGTTCTTTACTGTTTGACAAATCTCATCTTAAACTCCCCAGATCAGATTATACTGAATTGATGCAATTTTAAGTATCAAGTCCAACTTTGTCAGTTTGCAGATCAGAAAACTAAAGATAGAAAAAAGGTCCCAGTTACTCATAAGTTGTAACCTAGTCAAGAATAGAACTCAGCATACATTTATCACGTCATGAAACCATGACATCTACCTTCAAGGGTTGCTGTAAGAATCAAATGAAACAAAACAAAAACTCAAGAACTATACTTAAAGGAACCAATCAAAGTTAGCCAAAACTGTGTTTCTTAAACGTACACTTACTTGCATATGTAAGCTAATGTCATCATCATGGTCTTTAGGCTCAATACGTAGAACCCCAATTTCAGTCCTGGGAACTGAGCTAAAATTTGCTTCCAATACCCTATCAATACCAATATATCTCTTACATTAACTCTTTGTATGTATACACAGTTATAATCTTGACAGATTATCCTTCAGGTGATTTAAATATGTTTAAATATTTAAACAAATTAAATATTTATTCATTTAAGTAAATGAAGGTTATTCATTAAGGGAACAATATTTGTGTTGAGCTTTGTAAAGTAATTAAGTGTTGTATAAGGTTCATTTAACTTAACTATTCCACTGTTTATCATACAAAATATTCATAGTTTCATATAAAATAAAACGAAGTTCAACACATCACTCAACACCATATACTTTTATCTAATAATAGTAATAACTAAAATACTAATAGTGTAACTAAAAATAACTAATATATTTATATTTTTAGTAATAAATATGACTTTCTAATCATTAATAGTGCTTCACTCTAAATACAATTCTGGAGAAAAAGAGTTTAGAAAAGCATCCCTTCCCTAAATAATTTGCTCATGCCTTGATTAAGAATTACTGACCTAATTAATCTGCAATGCAAGACTTTAAACTACATACTGAAAGAAATGACTGACATATAACTTCTGCTTGTATTGATGGAAAACAGAGGAAGGCATAAAACTATTTCTACCAGCATAACTTGAGTCTTTAAAACTGTCCAACCCTTGCATAAGCAATTTCAAAACTGTCTTGTACCTAAAAACTCAGGAAATGAGAAAGCTAGTGAAATGATAACATATTCTGGCCCTTGCTCTCCTCACACATTTTAAAACAAGCCAATAATGCTGTATTCCACATTCTATGTCAACGGAAAAAACTTCAGAGATGGCGGAACTAATAGTCACATTTTCTCATTTTAAACTGTCTCAGTATAAAATGTGTACAGCTATAGAGTCCAGAGTACTTTGAACTTTGCAAATAATTCTCAGGTTAAAACAGCTAATTTTCGTGCTCAGGGCTAACAGGATTTACTAAAATACATATCTTCCATATCTTTTTAAGATGCCAATGCTAATTTCAAACAGAAATAACCATTTCTATTTATCAAACCATTACAGCCCAACATATACATGTGTAAAGTACTCCTCTGCTATTTGAAGGACTGGAGTACAATAAAGTCTCTCCTATTAAAAAGCAAATATTTAACATTAAGCCTATAGATGGGTTTTTTTTTGGTAAACCCCAAACATTGCAATGCTCAAGCATTACCAACACACACAAAATCACTTACTTATTTTCAGTGTCCGCAACTGGATGTTCTTCACCTTCAGGTGTTTCCTCAGTCACATTTGATTGTTCCAAGTCACTGCAATTATAAGATATTTGTTTCTGAATGTATTTGGGGGACTCTCTAAGGAAAGAAAGAAAAAAAAGGCATCTAGGTCCATTTACATGTAGTTAAAAGAGTCTTTATACAGAAGTATTTTAAAATTCTCACATTCCCAGTTTTTTCCTACTGAATTTACTCCCCTGTAGAACACTAAGAGAAAATAATTTAAAAATATATACTGATCCAAGTTATGGCTCAAGCACATTACTCAAAAACTAGAAAGGCAGCAGTTCTAAAATAAAGCCCCACCAGCTTTTTAAGTTTTTATAATCACCAAAAGGTCAATAGCTAGAATAAGAATTATAAAATAAGAAACATACAATAGCAGAATACTCATATAACTTCAATATAAGATTTCAATAAAAGTGATATACCTATATGAAAAGTATCACATACTTTTCAAACATAAGAAAATTAGTCATTCGGCACATTATAATCCAAACATATCCAAAAAATCACCTGTCATCTTGTAAGGAAGTAGCTGAGATGACAGCATCCATTCTTGTCCCAAGGACAAGTAAATATTTAACAGAATTAAGAGCAGACCTCAAAAGTAAACTATACAATTTTATCAAAATTATTTATTAAAGAACTGGAATACCAACGTTAATTCATCTTTGACAGTTCCCCAGTTGTGAGATCCGCTCCCTCCACGTTTGTCCTCATGCTTCAGGCCACTGTAATGTGAAAAAGAACTAACAAAACTGAGTTAACATAATACTCTTTAGGTCTAGAAATTCAAATTTTGTTTTATTAAAGAAGTAGATTCAAACAATAAAATATAATAAGAACCAATATAAGACTTACGATCTATCACTTCCACTATGCCTATCAAATTCACGTTTGCCACGAGAATCAAAGCCATCTCCCCGGCCCATTCCTCGTCCACGACCTCCTCGACCTCTTCCAAGACCACCACGGCCTCGGATAGGCCGGTCAATAATCGGTCTACAAGAAATGAAAGATATTACATACTTCTAAGATTTCTGGAAAAAAGAATGAGGGAAAGTCAAAGACTCAAAAATATAGGAACGTATTTACTGGCTCATATCCCAACTGTTAAATATGTTTTAGAAAATTCAAAATAGTCTATTTCTAAACAGTTAAAGGGAATCAGAACTAGGAAATTCCCCAAAGAAAGAAAATTATTTTGACATTCTCTTTTACTACTAATGCATATACTCTTCCACTGTTACTCATTTCATAATATAATCTAATAAAACTGATATTTACTCATATACTTAAAAATTAAACACATCTAACCTGCATAATTGAGGTGTTTCACTACAAGATATCTAAGTCTGAATACCAAAAACTGTTACCAAAATGTCATTAATAACACACACACATGGTCTTCTGAAAAAACTGATAAAATTAACCAGCCACACTGCTTCCTGGCAATTATGTTCAATTTATATGTGTTAAGATGTATGTCTATAAACTGACAGTACATGAAGAGATTAAGAAACAATCTTGCCTGTCAACGGAAAATTCTCCTCCTTCACCCTTTTCTTCAAGTGGCTTTTCAAATCTTCTTTCACGAGGTGGTCGCCTTTCTGGTCTCCTATCAATTATCTTCCCTTCACCCTGAAGTTGTTGATCAGGTCTTCTTCCAACACGTCTTATTCCTAAAATGATTAAAAAAAAAAAACCCATATAAGCAAATCATTTCTGCAACACAAAACATTTAGGCCTAGACTGTTAGAAAAAAAATACTACTACTCTTTAAGTCCACTACTAGCACTTCCTATTGAAAAAGGCTAACACTGGGCACCTCTGAAGTTTAACGAAGTACTTTAGAAAAATTTCTATTTCAATAAACTTGTTTCAAAATTCCATTTTCGTTTGCCAAACCATTCCCCCCCCCCAAAGCATTCTCTGTAACTGACCTGGAAGTCATTTAGTTATTTCTCTCACTTTTCAAGATGCCCACCTCTTAATTTAAAATTCTAAATTCAAAGAAATTTTAAGCAAATGATATAGTAAAAACAATTAATAACAGTAGCCATTTACACATAATAGTCAAGCAAACCAACACAATCACCAGATAAGAACCCTTTTTAAAAAAAAACAACACACCGACAGTGAAGGCATTATTTTATTTTATATAATCTGAAGAGGAAAAAAAAAGTGATGATTTTATCAAATTACAAAACTGAAGGGAAAGCAAATGACATTTAAGATTATGTCCAATGAATAATTAGGTCCTACTGTATAATATGGGAAACTATATTCAATATCTTGTGACAAACCATAATGGAATATATTAAAAAAGATTATATATACACACATGTATAACTGAATCACTTCAGTGCACAGCAGAAAGTAACATTTTGTAAATGAACTATACTTCAATAAAAAAATTTTATAAAGATTACATCTCCACAGTTGAAAATAGCTACTTACCCCCTTCCTCCTGCAGTTTACATGTGTGTGTGTGTGTGTGTAAACATATACATACATACCACACCTAATTTTAAAACACACTGTTATGCAACCAGAAACTATTATTATGGAGAAATTTTTTTTAGTTTGTCCTTACAATTATGTTTTCAAAAAATCTTTAAAACCCACATACACAAATTAAGCAAGATAAAAGAAACATAAACTTGTGACACTAAATGATGGCTGAAGCATTTACTGATTTCCCTCTTCCTTACCTTTTTTCTGTTTGTGTCAAAGGCCAAAAGGCCCCGTGGTGGCCTTAAGGATAGTAAGTAGACTGATGGTTAAATTTATGACTGTAAAAGTTTAGGTATGCTCTAATTCCCAAACCACAATTTCTGACAGTCACCTGAGGAATTGATTCCACAAGATATTAAGTTGGTTCACTCTGGTTCTTTCTAAGAAAGTGTACCACCAGCAAGATGCACCCAACTGTTCAGCTGCTTGCAGTCAAATGGTAAATGTCAAACTCTTAAATGTAATTTTAAGGTCCGTTCCACATAAACTCTCAGGACAGATCACAAATGTTAGACCTTACACCAAGGCGTTTTAAAAAAATTTCTTCAGAGGTAGTCTATGGGGTGGAGCTACAGAACCAGTTCTTACAATATCCAAGCCTCACACACCCAAATGAACAATGGCTTGCTTCCCCACTCCAATATTCAGTATCAGGCTTACAGAATCTAAAACACTTACAAATAAATCCATGCAGCAATTGACATTTAAAAATGTGTCTCTAGATTTTTCACTATATGCCACGCTTTCAACATTAAAAACAAAAGAGAATAGACTTTAGTTAGTGATGTTCAGTGGTGTCGATTCTCAAGTTCCTCAAGTGGGCAAAAGACAAACTACAAAATTCATAGAATATAAACAGTAAATACCTACCTAAAGCATATCTAGGATTGTGCCAGGACCTCTATTCAAAGGCAAAGAACACATGATCAGATTAACAATTCTTCCTACTGCAAGTGTCCAGGACTTTGTTTACAGGTCTATACTTCCCCAATGCCTAGGAATGACTGCTACATAGTAGGCTCTCAAAATGAATTTTTTTCATTCAACATTTTTATAACCTGTGTTTTATGCAATTTAAGGTTAAGTGTGCTCTGAAATGCTGACCTAAGGAAAATGTTGATAGCTATTAATGGAAATTTTCCCAAGGAAAGACTACTGAATGGTAAATGCAATCCTGCTCATACTATGAACTAACTAACTATAATTTAAAATACTAGGTTCCAGGTCAAAGTTTATTTCATAAACGGACTTTATGATCAAACTGAGGAGTTTAAAGCACACCTCATATTTTGAACATTCAAAACGAGTGAACACACTTCAGATTCCATTTTTTCATGTACCTTCTTTGAATTAGTGTGATAAAGGAGGTAAACTCGAGCAGTTTAATTAACTACACAAGTCAGTGTGCCTTAACATAGAAATTAAATGATTTATTACACTGTGCTACAGCCTGTATAGCCTGCTATAAAGACTAGCTGACTGAGTATTTAGCTTCAAAGATGCATGCTTTCTAATACTCCAACTTGTGCTTCCCTCTCCAACCTGTAATTTTAATATAATTGTTTTATTTACCACCTAGGTTCTTCATCCCAAGCCTCACAAAGTTCTCTCTATATTTCTTAAAAATTCTAAAACCAAAACCTAACACAATTGTTTTCATTTGCAAATTAGTTGAACGCTATCAAATTCAACTAAAGCTAAGAACTCCTTTCTGAAGCACGTGGCAAAATTTCAACTTTCAACACACAGAGGTAATCTCTACGATTCAGAGCTTAGGTCCTACACTTACTTACTTCGGATCTTTAAGGATTTTTCCTTACTCCTCACTGCTATGCTTTTTCACCCACCACCAAAGAGAAACCAGGAATGAGGGAGAGTGCAAACCCCAAGTTCAAGGCAATGCCGCGAAATTTACAATGACCTGGAAGCAGCTACTACCCGCCAATGAAATCCCGACCATGCTTCACGCACATGGGGAGAAAAAGCCATAGTTTCAAAAGGACTCTGCGGTGGCTACCGCTGTGACAGCGACAAGGCTCAGGCCAGGGGCACACCACACCAAACACTGCATGCGGGGTGGGGGTCGGGGGACGCGGGCCTTCGACCGGGTAGATAAAAAGATCTTGACTCGAGAAGAGTTTCAGGATTTCCTGCCAACACGTTTTCATTCAGAATTCCCACTTCTGATCAATCCCGAGTGGCCAAATTCCTCTCCCAACAGCTTGAGTCACTCCAGCAAGTTATTAAGTTTGTAATAGTTGACGGGGCGAGGGGTGGACAATAAAGCACGTGTGCACCTAAAAGGGCAGCTTATTCCACAATATCCGAGAGGTTCGAACATGCGGGTGGCGGGGTGGGGTGTGCGTAGGCAGAAAACTCGACCCTCTTTCTCGAGCGTACCCCGCGACATCCTGGGACAAGATGGCAAGAGAGGAGCCTAAAGGAGACAACCTCACCTCAGAGCAGCAGACTGAGGGGGGAGCTCTGAGCAGGAAGAAGCCGCGGAGCCCCCGCTACCCGCTTCACTACAAGTGCTCCGAGGAGTGGCTCCCTTCACCGAGCCTCGGTCCATGCGCTCGCCCGCCAAGGAATCCGGCGGGAAGGCAACAGCCTCCCAGGATCCCGACCACGCTTCTCGACTCAGACCAGAGGCGGGAAGGGGTGGTTCCAGTATCCCTGCAGGTGGCGGTTTGAACTTGTGCTTACACGCTCCCAACACCATCGCAGGACCTGGCTTTTGTCGAGTTGAGGGAAACGCGGGGATATCGGCGGCCAAGTCTCCCGCGAACCCTCGGAGCCTCAGAGGCGAGTGTTAGCCCCAAGTCCCCTCGCTCCTTCCCTCCATCCCGGGTGTCTCCCACCTACTACCACTGCTTTACCTTCTTTCTTAAGCGCCACAGGAGGCTGCGTCTCCTCCTTCTTGTCAACCACGCCGACGCTGGGGGGCAACGGATTCTTGCGGTCTTTCTGGGACTCTTTACGTAGCTGTTTCCCCGCCGCATTAGAGTTGGTCTGAGCTGCGGCCTGAGCTGCGCTTTTGGCCCCAGGGCCCCCAACGCCGCCCCCGCCGGCTTCTTTTTTCTTGTTCTCTGCTGCCTTCAACACCTCGAAGGGGTCCGATTCGTCGTCAAATAACTGGTCAAATCGGTTGGTGACCACGCAGCCGAAGCCTTCCTGTAAGTGCCCAGGCATGATGGTGGCTCGGCGGCGCGTTCCTCCACGGATTGCAGCGGGCCGCGCCGAGCCAAGAGCGCCTGCTTCAGCTCTTCCCACAAGATGGCCGGGCCGAGAGAGGGGGGCTGTCTTCTCTTCCGGCGCTAGGCACACATCCGGGAGCGGCCAGCGCCGCACGGTACCACGGGGTCTGTAGGCCAGAGTCGCTTTTCCTGAGGCGGCTCCCGGCACCAGGACTGCAATTCCCAGAATACACGGCTTAACAACTCTTCGCGCGCGCCTCAGAGGCGGGACCTCACCGAGGGAGTGGGGCGTGCAAGCTGAGGGAGAAGCGCGGTGGTGGGCGGAGTCCTGCCACCTGCTATCGCCACCCTTAAACTCTTTGGGTCTCCTGCTGCGCAGAAAACAGGAAAACGTGACGGCGTGTTTTGCTCGCGAAAGTTCTCAGTCTTCGGTTTTACTCCCCGCCTCCGGCCCAGGACTAACTTTCCCCACCTCTCCGGGAGGGGTCAAGGTGACCATCAGTCTTACAAGTGGAGACTCACAAACTTCCAGGGCTGGCGGGTTGCTGAGGTGCCGCACTGGCCTCGCGAAAGCGGAACCCGCTCTCTTCCAAATCCCTAGCTGCTCAGTTTGCTGGAGTTGCCCTCCTTCAGCCCTCATAACGAATCGAACCGTCTCTGTTTAATGTGAGGCGGAATACGCTTCCTCCCGCGGGGACTTGAACTCGAGCAGCGGAATTAATCCAAAAGACAAGTTGAACTAGCGAAGTGAGTGTTGCGCGCTTTTCTTGGATGAGAAGGGCCGTCTTGCGACCGGTACTTTAATTGTTAATTCCTGGCAGTACAGCACTAGCCAGACACTGGGAAAGCCTCCAAAAGGCATTGTTTGTAGAAACACTTTCTAGAGTCTAGAGTAACATTAGTGCCTGACAAGTCAAGGATTGGGTATTAGTAAAAGGTACTCAAGAAATAACATTAGAATGTTATCTGAAGAGCATCTGAATGTGTGATGTGCTAAGAGTTGCAGTGAGGGGAGAGAAATATGTCAGAATTGTCTTTTATTCGCATTGGTATTAGCTGAGAATATTAAAGTCCTTTAAAAGGGTGTCATGTATATTCAAGCACATTTGGCAACACGGTGAGGGGAAATGTATTATAATTTTTAAACCTTTTTCTATTAACGCAGAATATAGAAAATGCATCTCTTATTTTCCAGGTACTATGAATAACCTTAATGTCAACAACAACTTGCTAGGTAAATAATTTTCCATTTTCACAGGTGAAACCATTTCCTAGTTGAAATGACTTGTCAGGTTCACGTCTGTAAAAGTTTAAGTTCACGTCTGTAAAAGTTTAAGTGCCAGGAGTTAACTGCAGTCTTCTAACTCCACTGTGAGACACTTGACATCAGTTTTTTAACCCAGACTGCCTTCTGATAGAAATCAATCAATATAAGTTAATTTCCAATATTTAATAAGACTTAAATGTTGTTCATAAAGGAGATCAGTCCTGGGTGTTCATTGGAAGGACTGATGCTGAAGCTGAAACTCCAATACTTTGGCCACCTCATGCAGAGTTGACTCATTGGAAAAGACCCTGATGCTGGGAGGGATTGGGGGCAGGAGGAGAAGGGGATGACAGAGGATGAGATGGCTGGATCACCAACTCTATGGACATGAGTTGGAGTAAACTCCGGGAGTTGGTGATGGACAGGGAGGCCTGGCATGCTGCAATTCATGGGGTCGCAAAGAGTCGGACACGACTGAGGGACTGTCACTTCACTTTCTTAACAGGGAAAATAAAAGTCATATTACAGGCATGTGGCAGCAAGCCTAGTGGTTTTCTAAATACAGCCCCTATTCCTCAAGGTCAGGTATTTCTCTGTGGCCTCAGCCCCTGCCACACACACTCCCCCATCTCACACACAGACCTTACCTCCTTCCATAAGCTCTGGCTCTTACGACTTTTACCAAGACAAAGGACAAGGAGTTTTTGATCATACTCTTCATGCCCCTTTGAAAATAGCTCGGAAGATCACCATGGTTTAACAAACTCTTTCTCTTTCGCAGGGTCTGTTAATATCTGCATCTTTGAGACATCTGCTACAGCTCTTCTTCTTACCACTTTCTGGCCTCTGTCACAGCAACATCAAGAACTAAAACTTATGTTTTATTATGTGCTTGGTGCACTTTATTTAGGTAATCTCATTTAATCCTTACATCAACTCTGTGGGAAAGGTATCATTGCTTTTTTAAGATGAGAAAAATGAAGCACAAAGAGGCTAAGTAACTTACCCACTCCTACTACAGTCTGGAAGGGCTTCTCTAGTGGTTCAGTGGTAACGGGTCCACCTGCCAGTGCAGGAGATGCAGGTTCGATCCTTGGGTCAGGAAGATCCCCTGGAGAAGGGAATGACAACCCACTCCAGTATTCTTGCCTGGGAAATCCCACGGACAGAGGAGCCTTGCTTACTACCATGGGTTCGCAGAAGAGTCAAGACAGGACTTAGTAACTAAACACCACCACCACAGTCTGGGGAGTAGGTCAGGCCTGACTAGTCATTTTTATCCTAGGTACAGGTTTCTGGTTTCTTCAAACAGATCTTTATGACAGCAAGCATTCTTACAACAAGAATATTTAAAAATAAGCTATATGTAGCAAAATTGTATGGCTATGAATTTTCTTAGCACTTTTCAATTTCCTTCTCTCCCTTTTGTCTCTCCTGGAATTTTGGTTACTCCAGAGAAGTTTTAAAGCCCATTTTTAAAGTATAGAAGTAAAGATCAAAATTCCAGTTCTTTTACATCTCACAATCGATTTTATTTCATATGTAATTATTTTTGCAAATGTTTCTTTCTGAGAAGTTAAGTTTCTTTATGAATATTTAAAAGTTCCTACTACTCTTAATAGAAAGAATATTGGCCAAATAAACCTCAAGAGAGAAGGAAAAGGAGATTTCTTGGCAGACCTGTTGTTCAAATGAAAGCCAGGAGTTGTAAACTGTCAAGTTATAAGATATCACTGATTAGAAATGTAGCCTTAAATATCAGCTCTCTTTAGCAATGCTTGAATCACATATTGTTCTCTGAAAAATACTTGTGCAACTTCACAACCTTATCTATAGCATGCTCTCTAGAGTTCTCTAGCAATAAATGCTGGAAACTAGCCAAGTGTCTTGACTGAATATACAATATAGTTGCTTAATGTTAATGACACTGATAAAAGGAATAGTATACCTCCTTCCAGCCCTCATTTGTTTTTAGGATGCTAGTACTCAGTTATCAACTACATTACAACTTGTTTTTACCCATTTCTGAAAGATCTCAACCCACTGTTACTGTTGCTATATTCTAATAATAATTACTAACAAGGACTACAGTTTGAGCATTTGCTATGCACTTTATGCTGTGCTGAATACCTTACATGAGTCATTTCCTTAAATTCTCAGAACAACAATTTGGAGTAAATATTACTACTCCCCTTTTATACTTGAGGAAACTATGGTTAAGTACCTCTCCCAAATTCACATTGCCTAGAAGAGTCCAAACAATCTGATCTCACAGCCTGAGCACTGACCTGTTATACTTGTGAGTAACATGATAGAGGAATCAAAGTCTTTTATCCTTACATGGCTACCACCTATAGCAAAAGAAAACTATTATTCTAGTACTTTGGGGACACTGGATACAGGTATATAAATGTTAAGAGAATCTAATTTTTAGTATACTCTGAGTATATAATGCATTTTTAAAACAAAAGCAATAAAGATGGTTCTTATGAAGAAAATATCAAGTCTTCTGTCTGAGGATAGAATGATAAATATAATATGGCAAGTCTTGGCTATTGCTAAACTTAGGCTATCAAAGCTAAAAATGGAAATATTGCACTCTATTTTGCCCCCTCAAATTTATTTGAAGATAGATACTCTTGATGTTAAACTTCCCTTCCTCTTTTTCCCTACACTGTACTCTTAAAAAAACACACACCTTTATTGAGAATTAATCGCATACCATATAATTCACCTATCTAAAGAGTGCTATTCGAAGCGTTTTTTTGGTTGTTTCTTTTTTTTTTTTTTTAGTATTTTCACTGAGTGGTGCAGCTATTACCATTATCTAATTTTAGAACATTTTTAAGAAACTCATATTCATTAACTGGCACTCCTTGTTCTCTCAACCCCCAGCCCTGGGCAACCACTAATCTACTTTCTGTCTCATCAGTTCAGTTCAGTTGCTCAATTGTGTCCAGCTTTTGCAAACCCATGGACTGCAGCATGCCAGGCTTCCCTGTCCATCACCAACTCCTAGAGGTTGCTCAAACTTAGAGCCATTGAATCTGTGATGCCATCCAGCCATCTCATCCTCTGTTGTCCCCTTCTCCTCCTGCCTTCAATCTTTCCCAGCATCAGGGCCTTTTCCAATGAGTCAATTCTTTGCATCAGGTGGCCAAAGTATTGGAGCTGCAGCTTCAGCATCAGTCCTTCCAATGAATATTCAGGATTGATTTCCTTTAGGATTGACTGGGTTAATCTCTTTGCATTCCAAGGGACTCTCAAGAGTCTTCTCCAACACCACAGTTCAAAAGCACCAATTCTTCAGAGCTTAGCTTTCCTTGTGGTCCAACTCACATCCATACATGACTGGTGGAAAAACCATAGCTTTGACTATATGTAGATTTGCCTATTCTGGACATTTCATATGCTTGGAATCATGTGATCTTTTGTGATTGGCTTCTTTCTCTTAGCACAGTGTTTTCTAAGTTCATCCGTGTTGTCGCATATATCAGTACTTCATTCCTTTTTATGAATGAATAATATTCCATTGTATTTTATTTATACATTAACCAGTTGATAGACATTTGCATTATTTCTGCTTTGTAGGTCTTATGAATAATTCTGTGAATATTTACAGGACTTGTGTGGACATATGCTTTCATTTCTCTGGGTTATACATCTCGGAATGGAATTGCTCAATAATGTGGTAACTTATGTTTAGCATTTTGAGTAGCCAGTCTGTT